TGCGTTCTCATCTACTAGGGGAGTGATTTCACGTCCTTCTCTTCGCTACTAAGGGGTTCCTAACGCATACTGAGAGCTTCATCCTTTCTATGGCCGGCCGTTACTAGAGAGACACTAATTAAAGCTTCCTCCACTTCTGCGGCGACCCCTACTCGAAGGCACTCCTTTCAACGATTCGGATCCTTTTCGACACGCATACTCGGAGCTTCATCCTTTCTTTGGCCGGCCGTTACTAGAGAGACACTAATTGAATAGCTTCCTCCACTTCTGCGGCGACCCCTACTAGAAGGCACTCCTTTCAACGATCCCGAGGGACATTACTAAAATCCGTTCCGTTCGACAATGTACTCGGAATTTTCGCATTTTCTTTGGCAAGCCGGCTTACACGGAGGTGCTGCTGAGAGCGTTGTCCTTTTCTGCGACGAGCCCCTACTGAGCTACTGATCCTTTCGACATACTAACAGCCGGCGACGTCTATCTACTAAGGGGTTCCTTTCGCATACTAAGAGCTTCATCCTTTCTTTGGCCGGCCGTTACTAGAGAGACACTAATTGAATAGCTTCCTCCACTTCTGCGGCGACCCCTACTAGAAGGCACTCCTTTCAACTACTCGGATCCTTTTCGACCGGGTACTTGCCTACTCACGGCTTAGCAGCGACTACTGTTTCAGATCCACCGCAAACAAATGCGATGGCCTTACTGAGCCTCCACATCCTTGACGCTCTCGGCTTTCCTCCACGGAAGTTTATCGCTTACTGACAGCTCCGCGGTGGACACTTTCGGGACCTTACAAATAAATGTAATGCCCTTACTGAGCCCCCCACTTCCCTGCTGCTTTCGCTTCCCTTCACAGAAGTTTATCGCTTACTGACAGCTCCGCGGCGGACACTTTCGGGACCTTACAAATAAATGCAATGCCCTTACTGAGCCCCCCACTTCCCTGCTGCTTTCAGCTTCCCTTCATGTGGTAGGAAAGGGCCTCTGTTTGTTCATGTTGTGGCAGGTGCGCATGAGGCGTGATAATAGGTGTCCACAAAATCGCGTTTTTGGTGGTTTCTCCCTTGCACAATAATTTCGAACCTCTTACCAAAAAAGCGGTCAACTCCAGTTATTAGAAATATCCTGAGGGGTCTCCCACAGACAGAAGATATGCCTGGCTGAGCAGAATCATTGGCCTTGTCCATCCAGTCTGCTTTTAAGGTGACCTTTGGAGGTGTACGCTTGCCTGAAAAATATTCCAGTGGCCCCTTCAAAGTCTGTACATTCAAGGGTGCCTGCCTATAAGATTTTCTGATGGCCTCTGCAAGGTCATAAGCCTATGGGCACCGGTCTTAAAAAATATTGTGATGGTCCCCACAAGGCTTTTGGTGCCCATCCAATTTTCTGGTGGTCCCTTCAGGGTTATGCACTGTCTATAATATTTTGTACTGGACTCCACAAAATGTTGTAAGTGAGCATCTACAAAATATTGTGCTGGTCTCTACAAAACATTGTAGTGGTCCTCACAAGTTTGTGACTGCCCACACCCAAGGGCACCTGCCTACAAAATATTATGATGATCCATGCGAGGTTGTGGGCATCTACAAAATATTTTGTTGGTCTCTACAAAACATTATGGCCCTTATAAGTTTGTGACTGCCTACAAAATTGTGTACCGGACTCTACAAAATGTTGTAATGGTCGCCCACCTACGCTGTGAGTGCCCACAAAAATTTGCAATGGCCTCCACAAGTTTGTAGATGGACGGTCTCAGAGCGCTTACTTGCCTACAAAATATTCTAATGGTGCCTACTAGGTCGTAACCCCATGGTCGCCTGCACATGTGGAATGAGAGGGCGCACTCCGAGTAGAAGATGCAGTAGAGGATCGGTTTCGAACGACGGCTCATTACGCTCGACGACTACGAGGCACGGCGTAGAAGACTGCAAAAGCAGACCCTGCCCTTAACTTGCCTGCCCTAAATGATGCCTGCCCTAAATCAAGCTTGCCCTTAACTGGCCTACCCTAAACTGAGCCTGCCCTTAACTGAGCCTGCCCTTAACTGGCCTGCCCTAAACTAAGCCTGCCCTAAACTAACACTCAAGTCCGCGTGGCTCGCGCGCTTCGTGCGCGGCGTCTCACACAACAACGATGAAGTGAGGTTTAAAATTATTCTGATTTAAAATTGTAACAATTTTGTTTAAGAGAAAAAAAACTCGTCGCGCCGAGGCGCGTTACCCTGCCCTGCCCTAAACATGCCCCTT